ATAGATTGAAAGACAACTGATCCTTGTTAAGATATTTTATTATACAGAACATTATTGAGGGTATTAATTAATTGATATCTCTAACAACACAGATCATTAAGAGTTTTGACAAAATTTTACATAAAATTTTTAGCATATTTTGATAAAAGTTGATATGATTTGTGTTTGAAAGTATATATAAGTTCTTGGATTCATGAAATGTACAATTAAATTGTAGTTTGACTAATTAAAAATTTGATAAAATTTTATCAAACAAGTACTAAATTTACAATTATAATAAAGCATGAAATTAGTAGTGAGACCTAATCTCGAGATTAGATTGTGTATTATCAAGGTGAAATGAAAGTTTATGTTGAAAAAAGTGATTTATCTAGCTATGAATTATTTTTCTGTAACTGTGATAGTCATTATCTTCTATATGATTGAATATATTATTATTTTTTGTATGAAATGGATCTTGAATTCTGAATTTTGGAAAAAGTAATATTATTGAAATGAACTTGATAGGAAATGTATGATCTACATAGTTTTATAAACTATTGGCCTACCTTAGTCGGCATGTCACCTCCTTGATGTTGGAAATTTAAAGCAATGAAGAGGAGAAAGATTGGTAATAACAAAGAGAAAAAGAATATAGATATAATTAAGAGGTTTGAACACGAAAATGATAACTTTATCCTCAAACGTTATTTGCCCTCTTCCCAATGCTTTTGAGGAGTTTCGGCAAATAGTTTGTAGGATTAAACAAGCCTTTGTGCGAAGAACACCAAAAGTAAAGTGTATCTTTCACAAAGAACAAGTGAAAATAGATATAGGATTGATTATGTGATAATTTGGGAGAATAATTTTGTGATGGATTTCTTAATTTTCTCAAGGGTATTTTTCATTGCAATTGGAACACTCATTTATAGGCTTTGAAGGGTTCCCACGAAATGGTGCAAAATTATGTTAAAAAGACACCAAATTCAAAAGAAAAACGATAAAAAATAAATCCTCAACGGTCACTTTGTATAACCATGCGACCGCATGGTCTATAACCATGCGGTCGCATGGTTATAGTGCAAGTGGCCCTCCCAGTTTCGAGAGGGCCTCATGCAGCCGCAGGGTTAAGCCCAAATTTTATTTTATTTTTATTAATTTTGAACAACTAAAATTCTAACACTTGATATAACCGAAATTTGAATTGAAATATGTTCAAGTCTCTAAGATACAATTCAAATTATATGTCACCTCCTTGAGTTTGGTTCCACTCTACAATTTAGAGGGACGAGAAATAAATGAAGTTTGTGCTTGGTTGCTTTTGAATTATTTATTTATTATTATTTTTTTTTTTTTGGGTTTAATTCCAAAATATTGGAGACATTTGCATCCTTCTTTTGTAGTTGATTATTGAACCATGACATGGGTATCCGTGGATGTTTCTCTTATGAGTCTACCACATTATATTGCGTGTTTTGTATTTGAGCTACACAAAATTTTGGAGTTTGAAAACTAGTTAGAACATGCTGATGAACTCTAAGAGTATACATGAATTCAGAATTAAGTAATTCCGAATTGAGGTCCATTAATCAGTAATCCGGTAATTCATCGCACTGTCAGAACCAATGTGATAAGTGTATTTTATATACTTATTCGATACTTAAGATAGTGATATTTGATGGTTCTTGTGACAAATTATATTCTAAATTTTTGCATTTTATATTCAATAGGTGAAATTCTATAAATGAAAAGGGAATTATAGGAATGGAGCAAAAATAGGCGAAAAATGACGAAATCAAAAGTACGAATACTAAATAGGCATTGGATGCAAAGTTTAGAGATTAAATTTCATACTTTGGAAGTGAAGGACTCGAATTAAATCAAAGAGTACATGGATTGCAACAAATTAATTGGGCAATGATTGAATTGCATTATAATAGAAGAATTGGACTTGCATTTGAAATACGATTCAATAGGCAACTGAATTCTAATCTTACAAGAAAGTGGGCTGCTTGCCATGTATGAACACAAATTAACAGGAACGGATATAGAGAGTGTAGAGATTAGAGTCCATTTTGAAGTCAATTATTGCGGCTAGGTTCGGAGTTATACACAAGGAAATATTGTGGCTGTAGGATTGATATATATAGGTACACGTATGAGACAAAAAAAAATAGCAGCCAATATTATTAAAGGAATGGACACGTACAGAAATTGATGAGCAACATATTTTTCCACGCACAAAAAATGAAGGAGATTACACAGAAGCCAAGAATTGCAGAAAACTGAAAAAACCAGAAGCACATGGAGAGGAAAGAGATGGCAACACGCAGAAAAACGGCAGATTTATTTTTGCAAATTATTCACGTTCCGTCAATTAATCAGATGATGAATTTCATAATTTTTTGCTTTTCCTTCATTAGTATGAGTGGCTAAATTTAATTTTGGGGCGAACAATGTAACTGATTTGGGAACTTTTGTTTCTTTGATTTGAGATTCTCGTTCTTTTATATTTTATGTGTGAATTTTAATTATATTCTTTATACTTGAATTTTCTGGTCAACTATTCAATGATTTCGTTAACAATAATTACGTAGAGACGCGGACTCAGACCACATATTAAAATTCGATATATTAATAAAACGTGTAGAAATTCCTATATTAATTGTTGCGGTCCTATAGAAATTCTTAAAATTGTTATTCCATTTAAATAATGTTGATTCGCATAAAAATATGAAATTGAATTATTTAAATAGGCTCAATGAGAACTCGAGAGGAATAAATTGAATACCGTAGAAGAATTCGATTGAATTCTACTTTAGTTTTATAAATCTCAATATTAGAAGTAAAGATGACCAATAGGTTAATTTTGTTCCACCCTAATATCCATTCATTACTTGAATTCTCAATTACTTTTGTTGCATTCACATTTTAAGTAGTTAGATTTAAAAATCACATTCAATTATTCTTTTTTTTTTTTTGTTTATTTTCATCAAATAGAAGTTAGAAATAATAAATTAAGTATTAAAGTATAGTCATCATGGGAATGATAATTCGGACTCAAAAGGTCTACTTTACTACTTGTTACGATCTGTCCACTTGCGGGATAAAATCGACAACAAGTTTTTGACGCCGTTGCCAGAAAATATTAATTTTAGTCTTAATTTATTTTTATTTTTAATTGTTATTTGATTAGTTTATTTTTATTTTATTTACAGAAAATTGTGTTCGCTGTATGCTCCGTGCTCAAGATGACGATCTTGAACTGTTTGATTTGAAAATAGAACGTACCTTCAGACGAAAATGCAAAGAACACAAACAAAAACAGCAACATCAAATGACTGACAATCAACATATTCCTATTCCTATTTAGCCAATTGGACAAGTGGCCGCAAGAGTAGTTGTGCAACCGAAACAACAACATGAGCAAAGGAAAGGAAATGAAGGAGATTTGCGAATCTCGATGTTCCTGACACCTATAGCAGCACCCACGCGCTCCAGTATCTTGTATCCAGACTTTGGGGTGAATAACTTTCAGATCGGGCCAAATAGGATTAATTTGATGAGCAACACTCTACAATTCTACGAGCTACTTCATAAGAATCCAAACATACATATCTCCAGGTTTCTCAGGAATTGTCAGAATTGTCATACTCTCGGAGTTAATAAGGATGCCATCAATCTACAATTATTCCTTTATACGCTGAGAGATGCAGCATAGGAATGACTAGATGCCGAACCTAATGAAAGTATTACCATATGGGAAGAACTTATCAGGAAATTTTGCAACAAATTCTTCCCACTAGCTAAAGTAGCAAAAATCAGACTGAAAATTCAAACCTTTAAATAGAAAGATGGGGAGAGCTATCACGAGGCATGGAACTGATTTAAGGAGTTGATGAGGAAGTGTCCAAATCATGGGATCACTATTGGAAATCAAGTGCAGTATTTCTACACGGGGCTTTCACCATTGTCCAAATCTCAAGTGGATTCCTCTGCAGGCGGATCAATCGTTGGGAAATTAGTGCAACAATGCATGGATCTGTTTGAGTTGATTGCTACTACTCATTTCATGTTTTTATCAGAGAGAGTGGTACCTCCAAAAGCAGCGGGAATATATGAATTAGATAGTACAACATCTACCAACACCCAGATAGTAGCTTTAACAAAACAAGTAGAGTTACTTGTAAAATTGCAAACATATGGAGCAAATGCAATGATAGCCAGTTTAGCATGTGAGAATTGTGGGAGAAATCACGCTACAGAGAGCTGCATGATGCTTACTTCTTTAGAGGAACAAGTAAACTTTATTCAAAATGACTTCCATAATTTCAACTCATATGGGAACAATTTCCAGCAAGAAAAAAGACCAAGTTTGGGGGGAGATGTTTCAACAATATGTGCAGAAGACGGACAAGGTGTTCCAGCAAATTGACACGAACTTTCAAAATTAGCGGGCATCCATGAAGAAACTAAAGACACATATTGGTCAGATAACACAACAACTTGCAGAATGCCACCAGGGACATTGCTAGGCAATACAGTGATAAATCCTAAGGAACAGGTGATGGTAATTGAAGTTGTGGAGAACGATCCCAAGGCCCCCGTGAGAGTTAAAGCATATGTACCTCCACTTTTGTTTCCCCAAAGACTTCGAAAGAAATTGATGGAGAAAAATATTCATGTCATAAATACAAAGAGAGAGGTACAATGGCTAGAGATTACTATAGAAAGACCTAAAAGAAAAGATGACTAGGAAGTGATTGATGAAGCTACATGGGTAGAAAAATCTGCACCAAACGCAACTGAAAATGGAGAAAGTACAAAAACATCAGCTGCCAAAGCACCAAGTCTAGGCAAAGCTTACATGCCTTCCATTCTCTTTCTTCAAAGGGTTTAAGAAGAACAAACAATACACAAAATACGAAAAATTCCTCGATGTTTTCAAGAAACTCTAGATCAATATTCCATTCATTGATGCGATACTCCAAATTTCAAGCTACACGAAATTTTTGAAAGAGATGTTGACAAAGAAAAGAAAGCTTCTAGAGTTTGAAACCATGGCATTAACTGAGGAAAGTAATTCAAGAGTTCAGAGCAAATTGAATGATCCAAGGAGTTTTACTTTACCAATTTCAATTGGAAATTCATGTTCAATTAATGAATTATGTGACATTGGTGCTAGTATTAATCTAACATCGTATTCTGTTTACAGGGAATTGAGACTAGGTGAAGTCAACTCAACATCAATAACGCTACAACTAGCTGATAGAACAATCACAAGGCCACGTGGCAAAGTTGAGGATGTACTCGTAAAAGTGGGAAATTTCATATTTCCTGTGGATTTCATTGTATTGGACATACTAGAAGATCAAGATAGTCCAGTTATATTGGGTCGGCCATTCTTAGCAACGGGACGAACCCTTATTAATATTGAGAAGAGAGAACTAATCTTGAGGGTGGAGGACAAGTAGGAGATATTCAATATTTACACCCAATATGAGAAATCTCCCAATAAAAATAATTGTTGTAGAATTGATGAAGAAGAGCCACCTGATCAACGAAACTGCCAGAACAGAAAACTAAATTTTGGGGAATTTCTTGGTAGAGATGGAAATGGAAAAATAAAAATTTGGAGAGTAAAAAAGGACTGCATAAATGAAAATTGGACAAACTGCAATGATGGAATAACTTGGTTCGAGCCATCATGATAAATTAGCAGCACGAAGTCAAGTTAATGACTTAAAAGAAGCGCTTCTTGGGAGACTCTTTTTCCTTTATTTATTTTATTTTCAAGTTATAGTATAGTTTAATTTATTTATTAGTTTATTTAGGAGTCATCACCCATATCCCTTCTACCTGTAAGCCCTTGAATTTATTGTTGATTAGTTTGATTGTTTGAGTTGTAACCCTTGTTCCATTTATTTAATTTGTCAAAATTTGATTTCTCAGAAACATAACGCCGTGTAACACTCAAACCAACATAGACCCAAGGGAAACATGATGAAGAATATTATCCAGTAATCACACATAGTGCTTCACACATTCAATAGAAAAATTTAGGGAGCAACTTCTTCCTTTTTTCCCTACCCCATTTATGTGCTTATTTATACTCTATGACATTGATGACAATGTCAGTTTTAAATTTGGGGGTAAAACAACTTTTAGTATTTGTTTTTCGTATTTTTTATATTTTTGTGTGTTCGTTTAAATAAAAAAATTGAAAATTTTAAAGAATTTAAAAAAAAAAATCTCTTTTATTCAATCGTGTGCTTGTGTGGGTTAGACAATCTAGTAGACAATAATGATTTAATTTGAGAGAATCCATTTCAAGTTTTCAGGCATACCCGGTCTGTGGTAGTGATACATTCCATTATCAAGGAAATCCAGTTTTGAGGTGAAAAATTCACCATAATATACCCGATCCATGCATAATATCATGAAAAATAGATATTTGGTGTTGAGTTGTGAACTGTGATAGGATACATGCTAGACTAATTGAAACTCAACCTTGTAAAACTTGATATTACAAACACACTATAATTGAGTTTGATATTATGATTAAATAAGTTGTTTCTTGCTTTTGACAGGTTGATCTAGTTGGACATAAATGCTTTACCTAATCTATATTAAATTATCTATACTTAGACCAAATCTAGCATAGTTTGGGGGTGATTTTACAGTTGTAGGAAGATGCGGATGCGAATGTGGATTTCATGTGTGAAAACTTATGTGTGGATTGTCTTAAACTAACATAATAAAACTCTACGAAAGTCTTAAGTTTGAGGTAGGTTTGTTTGAATAAGTGTGTGATAAGGGGTATTGTACTAATCAAGGGATATACATTTAAAAATTTTAAACTTCTCTCTGAAACTTTTATAACTTGAGTGATTAAGTCTGCAAGGGTATCTTGAAACCTGGTACCCTGAAGTCGTCTGACTTGGGAGTCATCGACATAAAGTTCGTTACAAGGGTCATTTAGAAAAAGCAATCAGTGATGAAGTTGCACTTGAAAAAAAATTCATTCTCTTCGAAACCTTTTTGACGTGGGCCAGTAAGCCTGTAAACGTATTTAAAATTCGATGCCCTAAAATCATCTTATTTGAGAGTCGTCGGCCTAAAGCCTACTACGGGGGTCATCTAGAAAGCTTAATGGAGAGAATGTAAAAATAATAATAATAATAATAAATAAATAAAGCTTGTGAAAAACTAAAAAAAGCAAGTGCATGAAAAGAGCAAAAGCACTAAATACCTTGATTAAGATCTAACACTAATTTGAGGGAATTTCACTTTTGATGCAAGATAATTAAGTGATTGAATATGATTTTTAAATCTAACTACTTAAAATGTGAATGCAACAGAAGTGATTGAGAATTCAAGTAATGAATGGATATTAGGGTGGAACAAATTCACCTATTGGTTATCTTTACTTCTAATATCGATATTCATAAAACTAAAATAGTGTTCGATCGAATTCTTCTATGATATTCAATTTATCTCTTTCGAGTTCTCATTGAGCATATTTAAATAATTCGATTCCATATCTCTATGTGAATCAACATTATTTAAACGAAATAATAGTTTTAAGAATTCCTATAGGATTACAGCAATTAATATATGTATCTCTACACATTATATTAATTTACCGAATTTTAATATATGGTCTGAACAAGAATCCGTATCTCTACGTAACAAAATCATTGTATAGTTGGCTAGAAAATTCAAGCATCAACAACATAACTAAAATCCACAGATAAAGTATAAATAACCAGAATCTCAAATCAAAGAAATTAAAGTTCTCAAATCAGTTACATTGTTCGCCCTAAAATTAAATTTAGCTACTTATATTAATGGAGGAAAAACAAGAAATTATGAAATTCATCACTTGGTTAATTGACGGAACGTGAATGATTTGCAAAAGTAAATCTGTCGTTTTTCTGCGTGTTGCCGCCTCTTTCCTCACCGTGTGCTTATGCTTTTATCAATTTTTTTGTAACTCTTGGATTCTGCGTAATCTCCCTTCGTTTTCTGTGCGTGGAAAAATATATTGGCAGCCTCAAAGTGTAAAAAATATGTTGCCATTAATTTCTGTACGTCTCCATTCCTTAAATAATATTGGCTGCTGTTTTCTTTTGTCTCATGCGTGTACCTATATATATCAACCCTACAGCCACAATATTTCCTTCTATATAACTCTTAACCTAGCTGCAATAATTGACTTCAAAATGGACTCTAAATTCTACACTCTCTGTATTCGTTCCCGTGTTTGTGTTTATATGGCACGCATCCCACTTTTTTGTAAGATTAGAATCTAACTGCCTATTGAATCATATTTCAAATGCAAGTCCAGTTCTTTTATTATAATGCAATTCAATCATTGCCCAATTAATTTGTTGCAACCCATGTACCCTTAGATTAAATTCGAGTCTTTCATTTTCTAAAGTATGAAATTTAGTCTCCAAACTTTGCATCCAATGCCTATTTAGTACTCATACTTTGGATTTTGTCATTTTTGCCCCTTTTTGCTTTATTCCTTCAATTTCCTTTTAATTTATAAAATTTCACCTATTAAACATAAAATGCAAAAATTTTGAATATAATTTGTCACAAGAACCATCAAATATCACTTTTTAGGCATTGAATAAATATATAAAATACGCTTATCAAATACCCCAAAACTTAAACATTTATTTATCGTCAAACAAAACTATAAACTAAATAATAATTAAACACACAAGCATATAAAAATATTTGGTTGGACAGTTTAGCTTTTTATCACAAGAATTGAGATCATGGTATTAAATCTACAAACCGTTTCAAAGTCACAATACCAAACCAATATCCACTCTTCCAATGAAAAATCGATGTGTGTGTTTGAAGAATTAAGTAGACATTAATGACTTCACAAGTTATTTCAATTCCCGACCCTTAATGGTCTTATATGTCATTTCATTACTCGTAAGATTCACACTCCCCCAAACTTATTCTTTTTCACTTTTTCCCCAACGTGTGATCTAATGTTGACTTATTCATTACTATCCTTACCCTCTCGAGTTTAGGTAGGGCGTTACTAGTTGCAAGTGTGAACAAGGATTCTCCAATATTATTAAAGGAATGGGCACACGCTGAAATTGATGGGCAACATATTTTTCACACTTTGAGGCTACCAATATATTTTTCTGCGCATAGAAAACAGGGAGAGATTACGCAGAAGCCAAGAATTGCAGAAAAACTGAAAAAAGAAGAAGCACACGGAGAGGAAAGAGACGGCAACACGCAGAAGAACGTCAAATTTACTTTTGCAAATTATTCACGTTCTGTCAATTAACCGGATGATGAATTCCATAATTTCTTGTTTTTCCTTCATTAATATGAGTAGCTAAATTTAATTTTAGGACAAACAATGTAACTGATTTGGGAACCTTTATTTCTTTGATTTGAGATTCTTGTTTTTTTATATATTATGTGTGGATTTTAATTATATTCTTAATGCTTGAATTTTCTAGCCCACTATTCAATGATTTCGTTAATAACAATTACGTAGACATGTTGATTCTTGTTTAGAGCACATATTAAAATTCGGTAAATTAATATAACGTGTAGAGATACCTATATTAATTGCTGCGATTTTATAGGAATTCTTAGAACTGTAATTTCGTTTAAATAATGTTGATTCATATAGAGATATGGAATTGAATTATTTAAATAGGTTCAATAGGAACTCGAGGGGGATAAATTGAATATCATAGAAGAATTCGACCGAACACTACTTTAATTTTATGAATCTCGATATTAGAAGTAAAGGTGACCAATAGGTAAATTTGTTTCACCCTAATATCCATTCATTACTTGAATTCTCAATCACATTTGTTGCATTCACATTTTAAGTTGTTAGATTTAAAAATCACATTCAATCATTTTTTTGGTTTATTTTCATCAAATAGAATTTAAAAATAATAAATTGAATATTAAAATATAGTTCTCGTGAGAACGATAATCCAGACTAAAAAGGTTCACTTTACTGCTTGTTACGATCCGTTCAATTACGAAATAAAATCGACAACACAATGCTGCCAAATTGTCAGACAATAGTTAATTCTAAATATTAAGTAATTAACTTGTAATTATCTAGATTTTAATCTTCTAGAAACTTGTCTGCTTGTGACTTATTTTATATACAAAAGTTACATGTAATTGGCTACACGTTTTGAGATCTTGGGAGAATAGAATTATTGGTGATTACAAAAATTGGGGATACTAATTATGTAGACAAATCGTTGGTGATTAACAACTGAAGTGTTGAATATGTGGGCAAATCAATGAGAATCAATAGCTTTAATAAGATTATTTTGACAGAGGAAGAATCTTCCATCTTATACCCTCACAAGATGTTGTTTCCACTGAAGACGCCAATCTTGAATTGAAGTAACTGGAAACAAATTTTTGTCATAGGCTTTGTGAGGACATCAGCTGTTTGATCTTGAGTGAAGATTTGTGTAACAAGTAAAGAACCATCAACAAGCTTCTCAGGAACAAAGCCATAGGCTTTTGTCAAGCTTGTGTTCATATTAGAGTGAAACATTGGATCACACTAAGATTGCTAGTATCAAGATTATCACAAAATTATTTAGGAAGTAACGATATTTATAATCAACAATTACAGTAGTCATCCTATGTAGTAGCTTGTTATTTGAGGTAACAATATTGTCAAAGCCCATGTTAACGTATCCGTATTTGGCAAAGTGGGTGGACATACTCGTGAAGGAAATGATCTTTACATGGAAATGAAAGAATCTAGAGTTATTAATGAAGAAAATATTGTAGATTATTGTTCCAAAAACTTTCCCTTTTCAGAAAGCTTAGGAACGAATATGTACGGAATAGAAAGATTCTAACCCCCTAAGTAAAGAACTGTTACAAATAATGAAGAAACTAGTAGTGTAGTCGTTGACTATGAATAGTAGCACTCGAATTTGGTAAGTAGAAAATGAAACTCTTGGAAAAGATTGGCTAGCCAACATATTTCCATAGTATCATATGCAACTGAGTGGTATTGTGCTTCTGTAGAAGACTTTGGAACTGTACTTTATTTGTGAGAATCACGTGAGATTGGAGTACAACCAAGGAAAATTACATTTGTTGATGCAATAATCTCGGTTCAAGCCTAATCAGCATTCGAGTAGGCTAGCAAAGGTAATTAGGAAAACCTATGAATCAACAAGGTAGTGAAGTAATTGCTTAGCTGCGGTCCAATGTGTTTGATATGTATTTTGCTTGTACTGAGCTAATCTGTTCAAGGTGTTAGCAAAATGTGGCCACGTAAGAGACAAATATTGCATTGCTTCAATAAGACTGTGATCATTTGATTTCTCACAAACGAACATAATCATGAAAAAGTAATAAAGTAGTGAAAAGAGTGTCGAACCCACAAGTACTTTGTGTTTAATAGAATTAAAATTAATTGCAACTTTAATCGAATAGCAAACAAATTGTGATTTTCTATACTAATCCATAAATTATCAATTAAACTAGTGAAAGTAAATAAATGTATTTTTCAAATATGTGAGATCGATTGCGAAGATGTCGAATTTCCATTATTA